AAAAAAAAAAAAATCCCAAAGGGATTCCAGGGTAGGGGTAGGACCTTAAACTACTTTAAACTTTTTTTTTTAAACTTACTTTTAAGTGGAGCATGTTTCTATTTTGTTTTTGTTTTTAAAGGCAAAGTAACTTTACATTTGAACTGTCAGGTCCCCATGTTTTCTCACTCTCAAGTGTAATCTTGCGTAACACTGCTATTCAGATGCACTAGATTTTGACAGGATTCAGTAGCAAGCAGAAAAAGTGAGGAGCTGATATGTTTTATAGCTCTCTGATTTTAATTTTTGAGATGGTTTTTATTCTGCACAAGGAAGTGAGGGCAAATTTTTCTTTTTTGAAATTTGCTTTTTAACTATGTGACACAAACATTCATTTACTATTTACGGTTCTGTTTCCCTTTCAGTAATATAAGAAGTTACCAATATTTATTTATTTTCTCATGTCTCAGTCCTGAATATAATCTATGGTATCTATAGAGTAACAGACTTTTGTAATGAAGTGCCAATCTTTCTTTTTTCCTTAACATGAAGCAAGAATAAAGTGGAAAAGTATCAGAGTGAAGACTCAGTATTCAAATGAAGAGTGCATTCTTAACAATTCTATAGTCAGCTTTTAGTCTCCCTATTAAATTTTCCTCCCCCATGTTCACTCTGACATACACATAAAAAGAAGGAATTCTTACATGTTTATAAATATACCATAATCTGCAAATAGGCACACAGCTTCTCCCTAACACTTTACTCACTTGCAAAATTATCCCCTCACCCTGAAATCAGGTGATGCACTGCTGTAAAATTGAGAGGAGAACTGGACCTAATCTTTCAGTTAAACCAAAATTAATAATTCTATCTCCAAGGCAAAGTTATGAAGATGTTGTGGGGGATTTTAGATTAATACAAAATCATTTTCAAATTCAAATACTTAAACAATGGGTACTTGTAATACAATACATATCACATAGAACATGTCATCTTGTAGAAGTGAAGAGCAGCACTTCTGATATCTCTAGGTTGCAAGAGATCTCTAAACTGTTGTATGGTAAAGATAGATAAAAATAAAACTAAAGTTAAAAGCCAGTGAGCTATTCTGGGATCTCTTACAAGCTTTTCTATTAGTGTCTGCAAGTGGTGGTACAACTAAAGTAGGATATAAATATCTGTATCCTCCCCTCCCCTCCTTCCCCCCAGCCTATTGCCACAACTTCTTTTATTGTTCCCCTTTCTCAGTTGTCTGCCTTTTCACATGACTGGTGCAGCTGCTACACTTCTTAATTCCCCCTGGTACTTTTTTGTGGTGTCTGGCTATGCCTTTCTTGCTTCCTAATATTTGCTACACCATCACTCCAGCTGCTGGCTAACACCTTACTTTTTCTGGCTTGGATGGAGAATCACTTTCCCAAAGTGATTTTCCTTAACTTCTCTTTCTCTGACTTCCAAAATGAGTTTCATTGATTTTAAAATGGATTTGCTCTTATGGTTTCCAGAGAGGGTATTACCAGATTTTAGTAGCAGTTAAAGGTGTGTTGGCTTCTGAACTAAAACATTCTTTTGATGTGCATGATTGAAACCGTTTACTCTAATACAGTGGTGTCCAAACTTTTCTTCTCATGCCACCCTTTATCAGTAGTGGAATGTATCTGCACCCCCCTGGACTGGGAGCAGGGACTCTGAGTGGGGACCAGTGGCTGAGAGCAGGGTCAGGGCCATGGCCAGGAGTGGAGCCAGGGCTGTAACTGCAGCCTGCGGCTGGGGCCATGGGTGGGGTTGGAGCTGAGCTGGATGGTGCACTCCTCCCCACACACCCCTCTTGGACATACATCCATGCCCCCCTAGGAATGCGCACTCCACAGTTTGGGGACCACTGCTCTAATAGTTCACCCTTCTTTTCTTTATCCTCCTCCCCCCTTCTAATGGGTATAGACTTTTTACTTTGCTAACAGTCTGCTCTGTAAACTAAAGGACGGGACATAAGAAGTTTTATATATTAAACTCAGTGCCCTGACTTAACCATAATAGCAGAACAATGAGATGTCCTCTTCAACTGAAAGGCAACATTGTAAAAACTGATAAAAGGATATCCTTTTTAGATAATGCATGTAGAACTCACTGCCAGAAGACATCACTGAATCCAAGAATCTAGAAGATTCAAAAAAAGATTAGACATATATAGAGATAATGATGATGTCCATAGCTCTGGCAGGTTAGATGAAAAATGCATATTAAGGGATATAAGACTATGCTCCAGTGGTTAAGTCAACCACTGACTGATAAGGGTTAGGAAGAAACATCCTCTCTGGGTAGGTTATTGCATTTTGGCATTTCTTGCACCTTCCTGTGAAATATCTGTTACTGGCCACTATTGGATACTAGACCAGATTGATCACTGATCTTGTTCAGTAAGCACCAATTGAATTAGAGGGGAAAGGAGTAGTGGTCTTCTTCCAAGCTACGCTCACAAAATTATCTCACAAGATTGAGACATTGGTCATAGAAGATTGTGCAGATGTTCAAAACATGATCCTATGTGCTCTCAAGGTTGTGTGGGCTTCTTGGTTGTGGCTTCTGCACTTGAGGGGTTTGAATACACCCATAGGCTATTCATACTTGTCTTCCTTTCTGTAGGACTCATGCCCTGTTGGATTCTTGGGGTTGGCACCTTCTTGATTGGGAGGGAAAAAAATAAGAGGTGGTACTCTTCTAGGTCTGCCCGTTTGTGGTACCAAAATAAGTTGTCATTCAATAGATTGTGTAGATATTGATAATATAATATTGCATCTTTCTTACATGCAGTGAAATAACTAACAATATTGGCTTTTAATAGCATAAATGGCACCTGATGAATTTGCATCTTTGAATTATTTTCACAGGCTCTCTGCAGACTCAGGCAGATATTGCTGCTTCAGTTTACATTTCCAAGGCTGTCTTCACATCAACAATATCAAGATACTCAATTTTTGTTTTTAAATGGAAATTAAGATACTGGAAGATAAGAAGGCAGCTTGGGAGAGGTGCTAGTATGCCGTACTATCATGTACTAGCAACATTCAAGATCTGTTAGTAAGGCAATATGTATGTTCCAACTGCGGGCCAAACTATACTCTTGGGATCTCTGAATGGAGGGAGACACAAACATGTTGTGAATCCTTTCCTCTGTGAAGAGCTTATCCATAAACCTGAAGAGCTGTGAAACAGAAAGGAGGGGGCAGGGTAGAGTCCCAGGCAACCAGAAGAAGAACGTTAAAACAACCCCACGTGCTACCCTGGTTCTACCAGCAGGTAATAGCTAGGGAGGCTATAGCAATGGACCTCCAAGGGAGTCATGCTGGCAGAGTGCAGAGGGTCCAGCGCTTCTAAGTATGAGTAGCATCTGTAAGCCTTTGGGGGGAAATCCCTACTCCACCCAATGGAAGAATAGACAAAACTCTTTAAGGAGAAGGAACCTCACAAAAGCCCTCATTCGGGAATGTGGTCAAATACGTGCCTAACTGTAGGCATATGAGTAGTTCCACTTAAACGTGATTCCTCACATGCTTAAAGTTAAGCACATGCTTTAAATACTGTGCTGAACTGAGGCCTCATCTCTACCTAGCCATGTAGTTCTTCAGTGTCCTGCAGCATGACATTATTTATCCTTAATGTAATGGATTATTCATTGTTTAAAAAGCAAAATATACTAGTTTTAGTGCATTTTATTTTCCCTCTCAATCTGACTCCAATTTATCACTTTCTTGCTTTTTCTTTCTTCTACTTCTACTTTCAGCTTTTTATTTTACCTCATCTGCCTATTCTCCCTAAGAAACATTATTTTTAGCTGATTGTAATTCAAACCCAGAAAATTTATTCTGTATAACCTCTCCTTGACATATTTTCAATTGTTTGATTAGGACAGAAATGTTTAGTACATAGCTGTATCCCTAAAATTGCAGGCTTAGAATAACTTTTCTCCCCTTGTGTTCATAGCTGTGGTCGCTTTGTAAATAATGAATAACCTATTACATTTCTTACTCCGTAATCATAACAATATTGCAAGTTACGATTGAGGTATTCTAGCCAAATCTTTGGGTAAACCTTGAACAATATCTCTCCATATTAGGATTGACTCTAATCAGTGCTATTAGTCCTTGCTTTCATAAATATAAAATCTCTTTCAAAACTACAGGTCTGGGTAAGGATAAGCCATTGAAGACATGAAGGTTTTGAAAGAAATTCACCATTAAAGATAAAAGATGTCATGCCATAGGACACTGAAGAACTACATGGCTGGGTGCTGGAGGATATAAAGGATGCTCCCCCTTTTTAAATATGAATTGTCTTCTCTTTTCAGCTTCCATTTTGATCTTGTTCAGTGAATCGGGATTTAAAATAATGTATTTAATCATTCTCTGAACATTGAAATTTTGTAGGGATTTTCCTATTATCCCAGCCTGTGAACAGAATCTGATTTTAAAAACAAACCTGTGGGCTATTTTAAATCAAAGCCAACCATTTAAGCATATTTTTATCTTTTTTAACTGACTTATAAATCTATGATTACTACAAACAAAGAGGGTAGAGAAAAATATTTTGTTTTTTTTCACGTTTGTTTTCTTTGTGTACCTGACAGCACTGTACTACACTGTAAACTCAGTATAGGCAAATAGCAAAAAAAAGGATAAAGAACACTTTTTTTTTTTTTTGAAAATAGAAAGTGTGATTTGTAAATGCACAGCAATTGTCAGGGCCCTTGAAACTACTTTTTTTCTTTCTAAAGCCTTAGGAGATTTCAGGTTGAAGGTGTCCTGTGAAGTGTGCTCTACATCCCAGTCTGTAGCAAATCTTTTAATCTTGAAGCCCTGCAACGAACTCCAACTAATGAAGCTGCTTTCATCGCTACAGGTGCGAGTGGAAATTGGAGGGCAGGCGTTAACTCCCAACGCCACTCCGAGGTCTGAGACGCAGAGGGAGTTGCATAGTACTGCAGCAATGTTGCCTTGTTGGAGCAGGGCGTTTGGAGGGTGTTGCACCCTAATGCTGATGAGGTCAGTCGGGGGGGCGGTGGTTTGCTGGGAAGGCGGGGCAGGCTGCAGTACTCGGGTTTCTTCTCTCTCCTGCAGCACAGAGGTGCCTGCTGTAGCACCGGACTCGGTGCGAAGTCGACCGTGCCGCCTATGTGACAGAGGCAGGGACAGCGGGCGGTTCCCTCAGCATCCTCGCTCCCGGGGAGGCGGCGGCGGCGCCAGGTGGAAGCAGCTCTGAGAAATTCTCCCTACGCTTCCTGCTCCCGCTGCTGCGGGCAGCTGTGGCTGCAGGTTCCCGAGTGGCAGTTGTTGCTGGCGGACTCGACTTCTCCCACTCCGTGCGTGGCAGGGGACGGGCGGCTGCGGGTCAGGGGGCTCTTGGGGCAGTTTGTACAGTTGGCTGGAGAGCTGCTGCGCCGCCCGGAGATGGGAAGGCAGAGCCTGCGCTCGGGCATCCTCCTGTTGGCGGCTCTGGTGTCTCTAAAAGGCGAGAAGCTGCCAAACTGCGAGGACGCTCGGAAAGTTTTCCAGCTACGGCAGATCGGCCCCGCCAAGGGGCTGCCGGAGACCCCGCGGGCAGGTAAGAGCGGGCTCCTCTCCGCAGGGCACTGCTGCAGGGTGTGCCACCCCTTCCCCCGGGAGAGCCAGGGCTCCTGCACCCGGGGACGCAGCATTTCGGGGCCGTATAAGGAGGGGCTGGCAGCGGGCGAGGGATCTGAACTGCATGGGGCAGGAGTACCGGGCGGGCCCCTTTTCGGCCCGAGTGGGCGGCTCTGCTTTCGGTGGTGAGCGGCAGGCGCTGGCAGGGCTGTGCAAAGCCCAGACTCCCGCGAGCAACTTCCTGCGGGCGGGTGGGCTCCCTCCGTAGCGCTGCTGTCCTACCCCCAAAGAAAGTGGCCCGCCCGGCCGCTCTCCTGAGGCTTTCTTTCTGGACAGCGGTGTCTTGGCTGCGGGAGGCTGGGAAACGGGGCGAAGCAGTGCGGGCAGGAGCAATGGTATAGTAGCGCCCCTGGACGGATGGCTGGCTCCTCTTGTCCTTTCCTCGGGCAGGTGGCGCCACCTTTCTCTTGGGGAAATGCTGAGCGAGTGACTCCCATGCCCCAGCTCACGCGCTGCAGGTTTTGAAATGGTGCTATTAACTGTGGTTAGTCAGAAGGGCCAATCTCAGGAGAAGGCATGGGTGAAAGATAGTGGTCAGCCTTCCATATGGGCCGATTCCAGCCCAGGTTTGCCCAGTGTAACACTGCAGGGGTTGATAATGGAGAGGGTGTATGTAGGAGCTGACCCACTGCTGCATCAGGGATGGAGAAAACAATGCCCAGGAGAATTTATAAACGTAGAACTCCTGGGTTTGACAACAAATTAGGGTGACCATATTTCCCAAAGTGAAAACAGACCCCATGTGGGGCTGGCCCATGGGGTGCCCCCTTCTCTCCTCCTCCCCCCCTGTGTGGGGTTGGCTCAATGGGGCCCTGCCACAGCGCCGCTCGCCTGACCTTCTCCCAACATTCCTCCATGCGCCCCCGGGGGCGCCCGTCGGTTTTTTTAGGGGGGAAACTGGGCATTTTTCTGATGATAAGGGACGTCCTGGACTAGACTTAAAAAGGGAACAAAATGGAACGTATGGTCACCCTGCACCAAATCCAAGTGACGGGGCTTTTTTTGTGGGAATGAGACTTTACAGGGCACCAGCAACTTGGAAGGAAAGGAAAGAAACAAGAGAACTCCTTGCTCCCATCCCTCTCACTCTTTCCCTGAAACATCCCTTACTGGGGATGGATGGTGAAATACCATGTTTACATGGGGTATTTGGCCCAAAATCAGCCATCAGTGGCCAGCCACTGATGTAGCTTCACCAGTGAATATACCCAGTGTAGACTGGGGAAAATCACTGTGAGCCATGACTTGGATCTGTGCAACTCAAGCAATTTCAGGCAGTTAAACTTTGTCAGTGCAAATAACAGCTAGTTGCCTACCCAGCAATGGCTGTAGGTGGGGCAAATCCCACTGTAAGTAAGGTGCTAGTTAACTTACAGTTGCAGGTACCTCTGTTAATACACTTTGCATTTGCATGACAAATGAAAATTCATGAGATTCCTGTGATGAATTGAAATGATCCACCCTTGCGAATAAATGTGGTGTGAGTATCTTTACTCAAGTGAATAGTTCCATTGATTTCAGTGGTACTACTCCCACAGGTAGAATTACTTACGTATGCCAGTGTGCGCAGGGTCAGGAACTTAGACATATGATGATTGACTGTCACGGGTACAGGCTCACAGAAAATGTT